CCTGTATACAGCCTAACCCACATGTGTCAAATTCAAGGCCCGCGGGCCAAATGCAGCCTGTGAGTGACTTCCTTGTGGCCACCAAAAGGACCCATCCACTGCTGTTTTTAACTTAATTTAATAAAAACATAGTTTTTATATCAATGGTAAACTTTAAATTTATAATTCAATTTAACAAAAATTAACATATTTAAAATTGAAGGATAATACTTGTCTGCCCCCTGAGCTGTTGGTTTTAAGTGACTGTGGCCCCTTGAACAATTTAGTTGAATAGTCCTGTATTAATGTCTCAAAATAAACTGATTTAAAGCCACCATTGACCATAAACCAGAGGAACCCAAAGTGGGGCCTGTGGGCCAAATTTGGCCCGCCAAGCCATTTGATTTGGCCCACCAACAGTTGCCAATGTTACAAGGTTGTAAACTGTCATCCTATGTAGAAACACAGTATTTCAATTAGTCTAATGACTATATAAAGGGCTGTAGTGAAGGCAGTTTTCATTCATGGTGCTGACTTTATCTTTGATATATTAGGATTGAGCATGAAACATGAAGTAACAATAAGAGATATTCAGATCAGATCTAACTCCACATGTAGATTTGCACACTTTATAAGGCCACAAAAACTCATATTTTATCAATTTATGAAATGTCCCATGAGCCTTTGCTACTTGAGCGTATGGCAGACTTTCTCCAAGTGCACAGACTAAAACAAAAGAGGGACATTGCATAGCTTAATCGTTAAAAATAAAGGACTTTACTTAAAAAGTATTTGTATTTCATGTATTATATYACTGCATTTGGCCCGCAGCCCCTGGATAGATTTTCATTTTGGCCCTCTAGGGGAAAATGTTTGGGCACCCCTGCCATAAACTAAAACTGTTGTATGTTGAATACGCGTGGGAATTCCCTGCCTGAAAGTGGGAGAGTTCAGAATTCAGGACACAACTCAAAAGTGAGTTAAAATCTTTTTTACTTTTTCTGTATTATTCACTTCACATTAATACTAATTTTCAGTTTTTACAAGAGGACTTCTTAAAACACTGTTTATTTGCAGGAAATACCATGCAGAGCTCAGTTATTGTTAGTTAGTGGTGTCCAGCCAGAGCAATGAGATGAAGAAGAAGACGTTTTCTGTTTAGCCAAAGTTACACAAGAAATGTCAAAGTTTATTACAACTGGCCCTTTGAGCACCGTCATAACACTCATGTGAAAATGAATTTGACACTTCTATCCTTAAACCCTGACCCACAAAGACAGGTTTTCCATTGTGAGGACAAGCAAATGTCCACACGACAAAATATCCTCATGGTATAATGTCAAAATAATGTCTACACACCATAACAAAAACAGGCATGCACACACACACAAATAAATAAATAAATAAAATAAAAAATAAATAAAAAACCGCAATCTGTGAGAAACTCCTGGGATTGGAAGTGTCCTGCAGCTGTGAGGAGAAACTCCAAACAGATCGTTCAGGGCTCACAGCTCAGCTGCTGACTGCCTCTTGTCCTGGCAGGAGAGCTCCTGTTTGTCAGGAAATAGTGTTTCAGTCATGAAAACAGAACCTGAGCAGAGCAGCTTCTATTTCCAGCAGCAGTTTGATTGACAAGAAAAGGTTGAGTCTCTGCTCTAATTATGCTTCTAAAAGAAAAAGAAAAATATTTTTTCCCGTTTTACCTTTCAAATCAACAGCTGTTTAAAAGTGTTAGAAATAGAAATAGCCTTTATTGTTCCGCAGAGGGGAAATTCAGGTGTCACAGCAGCGTCTGTACAGAGCTTCACACACTAGTTTCTTTACAAACTATAGTTCACACAAAACAAAAATTAAATCTTCCCCAAAAATTTCCCTTCCCTGTGTTAAGGCCTGTGTAAAAAAAGCAGGGACCATCGGTATTTCTTTAACTCCCTATTTCATCTGGGGTTTGGCCGCACCTTCTGCACCCCTGCTTCCCACAACCTTGACAGCAGACCTCCAAACATGACGCTTTTTAAAGACAAACCTTCAAGTTTTCCATGCCTGTAAAAAGTCGACCCCTGCGATCGGCTCATACTTGGCCACAGTTTGCAGCTTTTTAGCTCTCAGTTTTATCAGTCCTGATCTGTGGGGATATTCAGAGGAGTAGTCTGGCGTCTGTCACAGAGCAAATACCATCTGCCTTCCTGCAGCACAGCAGGCCTCCAACCCCCCACCCACTGTTCTGATGTTTACAGAGGGCTGGCTGTTCCAGCCCCTCTAAAATATCAGTCAACAACTAAGCAAATGCATTTGGATGCTCCACTGAGGCGCCTAATAAATAAATAGGCAGCTCTTCCGCAGCAGGGTTAGGTCTGTTTTAAATGGTCCCATTTCCTCTCATGGCTGAGAGTGGGGAGATGTAGGTCAGAAACCTGAGCGGTAGAGACAAGAGTTTTAGACAAATGAAATACTGCCACCTTGTGGGAAAAAAAATAACTGTGCCACCAGAAAACTTAAAAAAAAAAGAAAAAGAAAAAGATATTTAAAAATTTAGAAGCAACAAACAGCTGTGAGCTTTCATTCAGTGAGATTCACACATTAAATTATTCAAACAGGCAACTAAATGATCAGTGATGGGTTTCTGTGAGGTTGATTGAATCTCCTGATGTGGGTCAGGAGTTTAATGAAATGTTTACGTTTATTCTGTTTCAGATTTAACAGTGCTGTTACTGATTATTATGATTATAGAAAACTGCACAAAATGTCCTGTCACATAGTTTTAAAAGACTCAATAGCTTGCTTGCACAAGTTTGTCAGCTTCACTAAAAACCACAACATGAACGTTTGGAGCCAACACTGTTTGTCTGTTAGCAGAATATCTCCTGATGCACTGTGTAGATCTTAATGTAACAGAAAGTAATCATTGGGTGTACATATTAAAATAATCAACATTTAAAGTCAAACCAATTCAAAATCTATACATTATGTTTTACCACCTTCAGACTAACGGAGGTCATATCCAGCAGTCACAGTGCGAGGGGCGGGGTACACCCTGGACAGGTCACAAGTCCATCACAGGGACACATAGAGACAAAAAACAAAACCATTCATTCTCACCTGGACAATTTAAAATTACCACTTAGCCTAACATTCATGTTTTTAGTGTTTGGGAGGAAACTAGAGTATCCAGAGAAAACCCATGCCTGCACAGAGAAAACATGCAAACTCAACCCAGAAAAGACCCCAGCCTGGATTCAATCCAGCAACTTTCTTGCTAAGAGGCAGCAGCTCTACCAACTGAGCCAGCATGCTGCCTATAGGCAATGCAAAACTCATAACACCTGTGCAAGAGCATCACAACATACAATGATTTCAGTTTCAAACTCTGGCATGGAATGTGACAGAGAATATGCCATTTTTATGAAAAGCCATTTTTACCTTCCTGTCTGCACGTGGGTTCACCTTCCTGAACCAAAAACTTACAATCAAAGGTAGAATGAATAACATTTTAGAAATAAGTGAGCAGTTTTTTTGTAATAACTTACAGTATTTTACCTGTCATAGTTACAGCGGATCATAAGCTCAACAGGATTATTGTAAACATCTGCTCCAAACAGAAGGAAGGACTCACTGGACTGATGGTTGGATTCTGTCTCTGGGCCGTCAGAGCTGGAACTGTCGCCACGCGAGGAGCTCCAGGAAGCCGATCGGCTGATGGCAGGGTTGTAAGGAGCCTGCTTGTCGGCTCCAGAGGAGCTGGAAGCATGGCTCTCAAGCAGGGGGAGAGACATACAGATGTCCCGATGACATGATTCTGAAAAACACACAGATTAAATCACTAATCTTGATCAAAGATTTATTTCACAACGACATTTTTTTCTCCTCTTCTTTGTGGGATGTTATCAGCAGGAACATATATGTTTCTGTTAGTAGCTGGTCGCAGCAGCTGAGCTCTCAGCTCCCTCTCATATTACTGCACTCATGCATTTTTAACACAACTTTAAAATCCCATTTTTCTTCTCCGATACTTGACACTAAACGGGGACAATAACACCTCTGGGTCTCCCAAAGCATCTGTTAACCTTCCAAACGATTACTGAGGAACTTGATGATTGCTGAAATTAACAGTTTTGCAGGAGTTTTACTAAAATAAAGTTGTTTTGTGGTAATAACAATGTGTTTACACAGAAGATACATGTGACACATGACACATGCACTAATGTGCCTCCACACCATGACATGATGCAAAGATGTTTGCTGACATCTTAAACTTATAATGACGTGTAGTTTAAATTATTTACCAAGAGAATTTCAATGTCAGATTTAATATAACAAGACAGTTTCTTTGTTCTGTATTTGGTCTAGAAGAGTCTGACAGATAGAGAAGGTGGTGGAATTATATTTTTATTGAAACTTCCTGCAAAAATCCAAATTGTACTCGCTGATTTTCATAGTACCCCTACAGAGTTTGAGCAGCACATTTAACTACAGTGTTGCAATTTTTTTACATACAATGCAGCACAAAAACATGTTCATACAATAATTAAGATTCAAGTTTGTTCCTAAATGAACATGTTCCTAAAATAATTGCCTTTTTTTTTTTTACAAGCAGGAATCTGAAAAAATGCCTTACGGTACACTTTTGGTTATGATTATGCATTTCCTGAAAAATTTGGGGAAAAATGAGCAACTATTTTAAGAAGGTGTTGATGAAAGTTGAGTATTAATGATTATAGCACATTTTTATGCTGCACTGCATGAGAAAAATTGTTATGTCTGATGCCAAGCAAATAAGCAAAATCTTGTGTAATAAAATAATTAAAAAGTTTAATTTTATATAACTAGTGCGTATGCACAGTTAAAACCACAAATTAACAAAACTGGAGAACTGCATGACATGAAGAATATGCATGTGTGATGCCAGGCTAAAGGTGATATGGAAACTTTACAAAGATAAGATAAGATAAGATAAGATAAGATAAGATAAGATAAGATGAGATGAGATGAGATGAGATGAGATGAGATGAGATGAGATGAGATGAGATGAGATGAGATGAGATGAGATGAGATGAGATGAGATGAGATGAGATAAGATAAGATAAGATAAGATAAGATAAGATAAGATAAGATAAGATAAGATAAGATAAGATAAGATAAGATAAGATAAGATAAGATAAGACAGACCTTTATTGNAGATAAGATAAGATAAGATAAGATAAGATAAGATAAGATAAGATAAGATAAGATAAGACTTAAACTTTATTGATCCCACAGTGGGGAAATTTGCACATTACTGCAGCTCAGTACATGAGAGGGTGAGATAAAATAAAGATAAATAAAAGAAAAAGGAAAAAACACTATATACATGTGATATACTGTATATCAATGCATACATACCAGTGCACATATACACATATAAATACAACAGGGTCTGATGAGACAGAAACTGCTGGGAAATAAAACTGAAACAGAAAGGAAACAAATCTAACAGAATAAACACAAAAAGCGACCAGAATCCACCCAAAAGACAGATCCTGACAAAAAACTTTAGGTTAGCAAAACTCTAACTGGTCAGGAAAAATAAACAAACATCCTTTAAATGCGCTGGTGTCCATCAAAGTTGTACAACCCCACAGCAACAATTCACTGTCCTGATCATATCAAAAGTGAGACATTAGGCAAATCGATTGACTGTTAGGTACTTCCTGCATGAACTTCCCGGAACATCATTTATTTAAACACACGTCTCTAAGCTTCCAGGTCACAAAGTTCTTTCCTCATATAGTAATAATTCTGTGGCTCCAGTGTGCAAATAAAATACTCAAAACACAACCAAGCATAAAAGATAATGGTTTTATCCAATCAAGCAAACACATTAAAAAATGACTACTTTTTAATGAATGCTTAAGGAAATTTTAATTGATTTAAATGATTAAAACATGCCAGAATTATTAACATCAGCAGCTGAACATAGATGAAATTAAGTTTGAATGCAGCCGTGCATGGATCAAACTGTGAATTGAATCAAACCAGCGTAAGTGCTTGTCAGCAGTATTACCGGTAGCTAAAGGAGTGTACTGAGTATTTATACTGCAGTGTTTCCATTACATGATGGATGCTGTACACTATAGTGTTTAAACAGCTTACATTAGTCAGCACTCATCACTTAGGGTCTCATAAGTGTTTCTGGGGAATCAAATCACTTGTGTTTCCTCTGCTCTCAGTCAGCAGGTGCCGATAAAACAACAGACTGGTTCACATGAAGACAACATGTAGAAAACTCACAACCTGAAAATACAAATTAAAACAACAACAACAACAACAACAACAACAACAACAACAACAACAACAACAACAACAACAACAATAATAATAATAATAATAATAATAA